TAATTCTATCCGCCATGGATTAAAAATAATAAAGGTAACTGCAACTTTTTATCTCACAATTCTGACTTTTTTCCTCACAATTGCACGTTTATATCTTGCAATACTGAGGGAAAAAAAGTCAGAATTACAAGATAAAACTTTTAAAATGTTGAGGATTTAAAAGCGTAATATCATTTTGCTTCTCAAGTAAATTTGATATTTGTACTGGAAACCGAGAGAAAAAGGCTAAGTTAGGAAATGTGTTTTTGCAGTGCACATCCTCAATAATTCATCACACCTGTACCTCACTGTCCCGACGAGCTGGTCTCACACAAACACACTCCCTGTGACCTCTAACGCACCTTTACGCCCAGAGGTTTGGATATAAATGTAAGATAGGGTTTCAAAGGAGCCTGAAAGACCACCGACGGAGAGACTGGTGGGGTGGGACGGGGTTTGTTAGCATGCATATGTTTTAAACTGATCAGTGATCCAGTCGTGGTCTCGGGTGTACTCGTTTTATCATTCTTCATCCATCTATCCGTCTGTGTTTCCTCCCGCATGAGAGTCCGAATGGAATAACATGATCCTCCTACATGAGGGACGGGAGTGTCCTTCTGATGTCACTTCCTGTGGAGAATGACTGTATGCTTATCTAAGGCAGTGTAACACTTTACGTTCAGGTCATTTTATAATTAAGACATTTTAGCGGGGAGTTTAAAAATAAATGCACTTCAACTCAAATTATGACATACTGGAGATCAGACGAGAATCTGTTTTTAGTGCGCTTTAATTGTTTCTTTATCATCCCATGAGCACTTGGTCTCATTTGCTGTGATTTTGATACTTATTTCCAGGTGCTCTTTCTACTGCAGGAGATTCATGGAAATTGAACTTCAGAATAATTATTCAAAGGCCGGAAACACACTCTTCTCAAGCTGTGAATGCTTCTTCAGCACATTGCAAGAATACAGACGTGCTGTATGTGTGTTTTTTAGTTTATTTTGAAATAGCACACACAGTATTTTATGACTACCTTAGCCTGGGAAAACCCAGGCAACTTCCGCAAATTTAGATTTGCTCTGAAAGTTAGTCTGGCAAAGAGCTCATTCAAGCCCATTTCCAATCCGCCGAAATCGAGGCACCAATCAGAAACGTTGGGGCGGGCTTTACACGATGACGACAGCGCTGGGATTTTGAAGCAGATTTTGTAGCCTACATTACAAAGATGGATGCCGCCGTCGAACATCACTCGTTCCAATCAGCTATCCCGTCTGTTTTAGGCGATTTAAACGTTTCCTTTTAGTTAAAACCGAGCAAAGAACAACACTCGGAGATGTTTCTCCGCCGCTCTGCATACGTCATCTCCTTCATCGCTCTGATTGGGTTTAGGTCTATCCGCGACGTCCGTTGGTGACGCCCCTCTGGAAATGATTTGTCTATGACGCTTTGCTAGACCATAACTCACTTACAACTGAGAATGCTCTGGTTTTAACCAGGCTATGACTACCTGACAGATATCACAGAAATAGGTGTCTTGGGAAATCACACCTGTCTCTGTGACAGAACAAAAGCCTACTCTGTAGACGATAAAACGGAGTCAAGCGGCCTGTGGTTGTTAGCCAATCAAATGCTCTCTGCCTGTCAATCATTTTACATGTTCAGGTTGTTTTGAAGAGAGGGCATTAAAGGGATAGTTCACCCAAAAATTAAAATTCTGTCATCATTTACTCGCCCACCCTTAAGTTCGTCCAAACCTCTATGCGTTTCTTTGATCTGTTGAACACAAAACAAGATATTTTGAAGAATATCAGTAACCAAACAATTGTTGGACCCCATTGACTTCTATAGTATGAGAAAAAAAAAATACTATGGGAGTCAGTGGGGCTCGTTAAATGTTTGGTCACATGTGCTTGTGTTATATCAGTGAATTGCTTTCTGACACATTTCGCTTGTGTTGATAGAAATACTGGCATTCACATCCTTGCTTAGAGTCTGTTTCAGGTCTAATACTGAGTAACACTAAATCAAAAGCAGACACACTGAATGCATTTGAGGTCTGAACACAATGACCAAAGCAAAACAAACACTCTTTCCCTCAAAGGACGGCCTGTTTGTTTTCTGTAACTTTGTGAACACTAAAACATGCTTTTTAGACCTCGCAAACCGTGAAATCGAATAATAATAGCGCAGATGAATCCAGATGTTCTTCATTGGTGCGTTTTTGCTGCTGTTGATTGAAATGCTGTTTTATTTATTTATTATATTCTAAAACATTGACGTTCCTTTCCTACTGTATCATGTTTTATACTCGATATTTACAACTACACGAGAAAAATACACGCAGCACTTAGAAAAATGTGAGATATTGAAGAAAGTACAGCAATTATTCTGAATTTGTGTTCTTTGCCTTCATGTCTTGTTGAGGTTGTTAGAAAACACTTGCACATGTCTTAATAGTACTGAGGGTCAGATCTTAAAACATATGTAAATATATATAGATATTACACATTTACTGAAAAGGATATATCTTAGGTCCTTGACACTAGCGTGCTGATGATATTTAATAGAGTGTACAGTTATATTAACCAAACACATAGAGCCAGGGGTGGTCTGGCAAGCTTGCCCATGTTCTAGAAACTTCTCAGGGTAGACTTGCTTCTCTAAGCTTTACAAAACCTGTCAGGTCGCACCACTGGTCAACGTTTACTGTTCCTAACCGCCGTTCGCTTTTCAGTTGACTGATCATGTGATTTGTACATCTGATCAATTGGAAAAAAAAAGAATCTCATGTACTTTAATGCATACTCTTATTATTAATAACAAGCAACCAGACAGCAACTTCTGAACAAAACAGAAAACCTGAATGCATCTCATCTGAACTCGTGACTGAAGCAATTAGTGTTGATTCAAATGAAACCTCAACGACTACTTCTCTCTCTCTCTCTCTCTCATGTAATTGTTCATGTAATAAAAATGTCCTGTTGACAACAGATTTTTTGACCATTCTAAACTGCTTTCATTTTGTGTATGTTTCTTTTTAACATTTGTATTTTGCATGCCTTGTTTTATTTGCAAGGATCGGGAATGTTTGAGTGGTTTCCCCCTCCCCCCCAAGAAATCAGCACTTACACATAGTTTCACTTCTTGCAGGTTATAATGGATGATACTGTATTAGGCACTTTCCACAAATGCAGTACAGTGCTTTTTTTTCTTTGCTTTTTTTGCTTGAAAATGATTAGGCGACAAATTATCATTGCATATACTGTAAATTTAACCAAGCATGAAAATTAGGTTGTTTTTAAAAAATATCCTATTTCTAGATTCCCCTTAAAATGAGGTCTTGACCTTCTCGTGCAAAAATGTCATTTTTTTTACCTTTGAAAGTCTACTATTGAAAAAATCTTTTACTTAAGACCAAAAATCATGTTTAGCTGTCCGGTTTCCATCACTGTTATCACATGATTGGACCCCAATGCAAAAATATATATATTCATACGTCCCATATTTTGACAACAGGACCTCATAAAATAAATAGAGCATTAAACGTCCTCCTGAGGATGATTATAAACATTTTATGAAGGTAACGCACCTCCTTTCACCAACTATTTGCTGAAAAGGGAAAAAAGGCTTCATTTCGTTAAGCATCTCAGGCCCTGTTTGTGGAAAGTGCCATTCCAGTATAATAAAATTAGTGGTCATAAGTATCTCGGGCAAAACAAGATTACTTTTGATATCTGTGGTGCTTGAGTGTGTTTGTATTTGAATTATCGCAGAGCCCTATATAAACACTGGCCTTTTCTTTATTTGAATAGTAAAAAATGAAACCGCCTCACTGCAGAATTAAAAAACTGTCAGACTTGAAAACTTAATTGTCAGTTCTGCTTATGATTTAATGTGTGTGTTTGGAGTTTGTACTGTGTGTAAATGAGGCTCTGTGGTGAGTATGAGATTGAATTCGACACAAGCGGGAGGCAGAACTCTGTGTTTGGTTGTTTCTCTTTTGCGCATTTTTTTCCTCTTTCCAACGTTTGCGCACATTTCCCATGACCTTATGGCAGAGCACTTAAAGCTTTGGTTGTTAAAGAGAGGACAAATAAATGTCATGTGTCTTTTAATCACATATGTACCAAGTCATTATTGAATACAGTACATCATTGTATAAACCTTTTTTGTCTGTGTGTTTTTTTACACCTAGTAATTTTCACGGTAAAAGGCTTTACATTGCCAAAGCATTGGTAACTTTAAATTACAGACACAATTACAAACAAGTCCAGTTGCATTAATGCCCTTCTTGTCATTTCATGAATTTGAACCAATTTGAAAATATGAGAAAAATGGAATTAAATTGCCTAATGGTTATTTAATAATAAAGTGTTTATCGGGAGGGTTAGAGGCAGGTGAAGGGCTTTATTGTCCCAATAAGGCAGAATTTATTTAATATAATTTACACTGAATATGTTATTATTGCACAGGCCTACTGTTGTATAATGTAGGCCTACTAAAATACTGAGGTGCAAATAGTATCTGACTACTATTTACACTTATTGCAAAGAAAATAACATTTATTTGAACATGGTGTAGCCTAAATGGTGAATATCCCTGCACTAAGTCTTAGTGTAAATATTGCCACTAAACAGCACTTTCTCACTGTGATACATTTTGTAGGTATGCAGGAATTGACTCAAAATAAACCTGAACAATATTTACTGGACTTAAAAAAAAGTGACAATTAGCCCAGTCTTCTCTTTTAAATTAAATCAACTTGTTTTCTTAATTCACTTTCATTTAAAGTTAGTTTAATATGGGGCGGATTAAACATATCTAACGAATACAAGCATTTTTTTATGCCAAATTCCCATATGCCAAAGTCTCCATTGTCTGTGTAATTATTTATTTATTATTATTATTGATTATTTATTAGCAGTACTTGCATCCACTTCAAAGCTTGTTTACATATCCGCCCCTCCCCCACCGCTCGTTCGAACGCGATGACGCAATTTGCGCCGTGACGTCATGACGTCGGGGAGGCTGCGATGACGACGGGATTCCACAGTGGGACGGGCCGACTCTGCAAATGGCTACGAGGTGCAATTTGTCGATTTCTTCATCGTTAATCTCCTCTCCTGCGACTCGGAAGAAAGAGTATACCCGCTCTGCCTCGCAGGCTGCCTTCAGGTGAGTGAGCTGTGTCGTTTTAACCCGAGATGCGGGTGTTTTTCGCCGTGTTTTGAGGCCTTATCTGAGGGGTCCGCCCTCTGCTCGCGACAACAACAACAACAGACGCCGAAACGGGCCTCGGCTGAGGATACATTTAATAAATGCTTCACATGAGCTGTAAAAAAATCACCGTGGTTTAAAGGGTTGTGCTATTTAGTTGGTTTGATATACATTTGACCCCTGACAGGGGTAGAAATGCGGCCTTTTAGTTCAGTTTTTGTCGGTTACTTCGCTCGAGCTCCAGTCAGTGAAACAGCCGCCGCGCGAATGACTGACAGATCGAGCGCGAGCGCCTTACAACAGTTCACCATGGTAACCAGCTTTATGCAATTGGTATTGGTATAAAACTGGCACGATTGACAAGGAAAAGAAAAGAAAATGATAAAAACCGTTTACTGTAGTAGTGAGGCGATAACTATGGTATAATGACTGTTATAAAAAAAAAAAACCCAAAGCATTATGCATCATAATGCAATATTTTTGTAACAATAACTGCAATGTTATCAACATAATAACATATACTACAGTTGTTACTACAGTACAAGTTCTGAAAGCTGCGCTTTTTGGCGGAGATCCTGTAATTATCATGACCTCACAGTTGGAACAATAGCTCTAATAATTATGGTATTTTGGTGGAGACTATGATTGCTATGGCGTCATGAAAATGATGCTTTATGTTTCTCCGTAACATATTAATAATACTAATTTAATAAATTATGACGTCTCATTCAAACAGTGCATGAAGCCTTTAGAATATTGGCACTGTAGACAGTTTTACTCTAGTAACAACAATTGCCATGGGGAGACCATATTTTCCAGCAGAATGAATGGGACTTTTACTTCTGTTGCACTCTATACCCAGTAAACACAGTTTTACTGCAGTAACTATGGTATTTTAAAGGGAATCTCCAGTAAGGCTTGCTGTAGAGAGGCATGTGTTGGGTTTGTTTGTTTCTGTCCGATCCGCGTGGTGTTGGACTGGAAGATGATCCTTTGGCTCTCCTGCTCTTGTTTTGGTGTTGGGTTTCTCACGTGTGGTCAATCTGACTGACTCATGGTGTGACTTTGGGATAAAATGCATCTGGTTAAAGGTTAACTCAACCTGCTGAATGAGCGCAAGTGCATCATGACTGCCAAAACCCGAATAATTGTGTGTTTGCATGTAACTGACTGTGTGTCTTGAGCCTGTTTGAGCGATCAATAGTAAACCAGAGTGACAGGAGGGCGAGTGGTTGAGTTTATGAATGAACTCCAGCAATGCTGAGAGATGATAATAATAAACATCTGTTTCTGCTGTTTGTTTAGAGCACAGCATACCCACAAATAAAGCATTTGGACGATTACGCCATCCGAAAAAATGCCATAAGCTGCAGAAGCTTTCACTTAGCTTCACTATTCTTCATGAGTTTTGAAGTCTTAATGTCTTTGGTGATTTGGTCTTTGGACTTGTTCCACTAAGGCTACATTCAGACTGCAGGTAAATGTGGCACAAATCTGATTTTTCTGCTCACATGTGATCTGTTTTTCTCATGACAGTGTGAACAGCGAGGTAACATGAGGTAACATGGAAATTGATCTCTTAAATTACAATTTGTGCCACTTCCATATGTGGTCCTAAATCCGATACAGGACGGATGTTTTGCAATGCGACCGCAGTCTGAACAGTCTTATAGGAATTCATGCGACTTTGGGTGACCAGACCATAGATATCCATAATAAAGGCTGCCTAGATGTCTCGTCCGCGCTGCTGGCCAATGGAGGTGGACGTCTGCACCTGGCGGCCATCTTGTCACAGGCAGCTCGCTCACTCGTAACATTGTGTTTTAATGGTGCATGTACTTTTTAAATAACCACAATTTTCAACCGATTTTCAAACGGTTTGGTTTGTTATAAACGTCAGAGATGCAGTTATGACACTGCAGACTTATGAATAATAAGTGTATAAATAAATAATCATCCAGAATTATAGCCACGTTAATAACGTTTTGTAAGAAACCAAACCGTTTGTAAATCCGTCAAGATTTCAACGAGATAAGAGTATTTGTGTTCGTGCTGATCACTCATCTTACATCAGGCACCACAGAGCCCGCCAGAAAGCTTGCCTGTGACAAGATGGCCGCCGGTGATGACGATAGAGGCTCCGCCGTAAGACATCTAGCCTTTATTATGGATATCTATGGACCAGACGTCCCGTTTTTTTTCCCGGGACAGTCCCGTATTTCAGATCTATTTTTAGCGTCCCGACTTATTATGAAAAAAATCATGCTTTTCCCCATATTTCTTTTTTCCTAAATTGTCTTTGCAGGGTGATTATATAAAAGCAAGTAGCACTGTCACGCGAGAATAGCCCAATCAAAGGTAGCCAATCTCGTCATAGTATATTTTGGAGAACAAAATTACCATCAGTCACAATTTGTTATCGATTAACTTGCAATTAGTGAAGGCAGGATATTAGGGGTGTAACAATATATCATGTCACAATATATCGCAATACAAAAATGCAACAATATGTGTTGTGTATAGTTCCCCAAAAATAAGAGTTTTCGTGTCAGTACTACATTAAATAATGTAATAATAATGTATAATAATGCAATGGGGGAATATTTGTGGGTCCTGATAATGCCAAATGTTACCAGTAAAAAGTGGCCTACATTATTTTAAATATATCTAGTCAGTGACAGAGTGCAATATTCGTCTAAAATAATTCAGTATTTTCAGCTTCAGAATCATGAATATTTTTATTCTGGTGTCTCTATTGTCCTGTGAATTGGGTTTCCAGCACCAAGTCTAAGCCTATTCATTTTCAATGTAACACCAAATTTAGCATTTTAATCAACAGTACATTTTTTGTTAACTTTTTACCATTTGTCTTGACTTGGAGTATCGCAATAATATCGTATCGTGAGTTCAGTATCGTGATATGTATCGAATCGTGACATGAGGGTATCGTTACACCCCTAAGATATTAGAGAGTGCAGCAGATGAGGTCAAATCAGATGCAAAGATTATGTCAAAGAAGCGTGTGATCAAACGAGGATCTTTAAAAAGAGTTAATCTAGTTATTATGCACAGTAAGTTGTGTATTTGAATTTGTGAAAAGCATAGCCCCTTGAGATGTAACATCTCATTTTCAAGGGTGTCCTAGAAACACAAACAGAATAATATGTATACACAATAATACAGAAACACAAAACACAACAACCTTACAAAAATACAAAACAAAAGAAATGCTCAACCTGTCCCCCACACCCACAAACCACAGTTGAAATACAAACTTCATACATCAATAACATTAACATAAGACCAGTTAATAACTGAAAATCCTCGATTCTCAAAAAAGAAAAGAAAAAAATCAAAAACATTAACAAGTTATTTTAAGATAAGAAAATAAAGATAGCCTAAAGTGATTAAGAAAAAATAACTCTGAATTAATCTCTCTCAGACAGCGCGCAATCCCCAATTCAGTTCCCTTTGCACCTGAATGTTGAAATACAGATCACATTTGTTAAAATGCACATCATGTGGAGTACCTATTTCATGTAAATACAGTCGGTTATGGCTTAAGTGAACGTAAACAGCTTGGTAAAAACCGGATAAATGTCATTATTATTAGATCCTAGCATTCTGTCTTAAGTGACAGCAGCCTAAAATACCTGTCTGTGTCATTAATGTTAATCAAAACAACAAAAGATGTTAAATAAATGTATTCATGTTAGATAAAACCTACTGTACCTGAAAAACTTAGTTTTCTTATTCTTTGTTCTTTTCGTGAGAAATCTGGTCACCCTGCTTTTACGTCACTCTAGATATTCATCACAATTCTGCTCTCATGCACATCACTTCAAAGATTTTGCATAGCCGACGTTATCAAGACAGTTGTGAAAGGTATTCAGTGGAAGGACAGTGACGTGTCAGAACTCGTAAGTATTACAGTGACAGCTCAAGCAAAATATGAGGTCTTGTATCATAAATATTTTAAAAACTGCTCTTTTTTCACACCCTCATCATTGTTTTTCATATTGCCTACGCTTAATTTCGCTGGCTTTGGCGGCAAATCACTCTATAAATAAATGCGTAATCGTTTGCTTTAATGTCTTCCTTGTTTGCTTCCGTATGACAGCGTGCTGCGTGACGTCTTTTTATTATTATTGTTATTTACCGTTCTTTTTATCGTGTCAGTCCAGGAACACGATCTGTTCACGCTGGAATCTGATATTGGCCACATTTAAAACAATAATGTGAACAGCTATAAAATAAAAAAAATCTGATCTGAGCAATAAATCGGAATTGAGCACTAAGTAAACGCCTAAAGGTGTGGCAATGCAAAATTATTATGTATTCATTCAGGCATTTTAAGTGTCCAAATACTGATTGGAGCCATTGTATATTTTCCTGTCTTGCAAGTTTTGTTTATTTCCCACCGTTGCTGAATCTCCAGCAGTGTAGCAAATTAAATCATACTTTATTAAAGTTAGATAAAAAAGGCTGTGTGCCACAAAATAATGGCTCTAAAAAATTGCTATTATTTTATAGATCTCCTTACAGGATGCATGCAAAAAAAAATACACCGTTTTTTTTTTTTTTTAGTTCCAGTTAAATGATAACTGTGTTTATGTTCAATATAACACATTCTTAGAAATTGGAATGATTGTTTCTACTGAAAATAATGACAGCAAAATATAAACATGTGCCATCCATGAATGTGCCCTTTGACATGGGACAATAAGGAGGTGTAGCATTAGGTAGTCGTCGGTTGGTGTTTTAGTAAAATGAAACTGAATCAGTCCCAACGGTGGTTCAGGAATGAGAACACACAATGCAGATTGACCTTTGGGACAGTAAGAGTGACACCTGAGATGGGAAGAAAAATACTGAATGATTCTTCTGTCCACCTGCAGTCAGTTGACCTAAAAGAGAGTGGAGAATTCTCCAGAAAGCCATTGTTTCTGAATACCCAACACTGCCTGAAACGATGCTTTTGGATACAGACCAGTATGAAAATGGTTTGGCACTGCACAAAACTAACAGACTTTTTCATGTTGAACAGTTTGCATGATGTACTACTCATGATCCCACATTGCAAGTCAGTCATTTGTTCAGATTAGGGCCAATCAGATTGAAGACAGACCCCTCAGCTGTAGTAAACATGCGCGTTTGCCTGTTAGAGATATGTTTTATCAGTAGTTTCCAGGCGGCTTCAGTGTGGCCTCCACTGGAAGCGTGCGTTTGAATGTTTTTGCGTATGGATGCTGTTGCCCTCTGGCCATGAACCAACTAAACTCACTTCACATGACTCTCAGGAGACAAACCGGTCACTGAAATCATCCCGTTCATGACACGCTTTACTGCTGCTCTGTTTAGTCTATGACAATTTAGGTTTTGTTGTCTTCTGTGGAACAGTATCAGCTCATTCTTTATGCATCTTTTAGCAGAGCTTCACAGATAGCTTTCATGGGAAGGATAGTAAAAACCGGTTGGTGTTGTCAGTTGATGCACCTCCAGAGAAGAGAAATATATGACATAATGGTGTTTTTCATGTGTATTTTAGGTACAGTAGATGAACTAGGCTACTGGGGTGTTTGTGCTTGTCGCAGTGTTTTGCTTGCTTTCTTCCAAGCAAACTTTGATACTACAGTTTATTGAAATGCTTTTTTATGTCTGTGTAGTTTTGAGCTCATCCATATGCTGGTGTTCTCCTATAAGAAATGAACTGTTTTTGCATGTAAATAAGTGATATACCATATCTTTGAAAAGCCTGTAGATGAACGGCATGCTTCACTGCCCACCTTTGCCCACAGAGTACCTGGTGTAAAAAGTGTGAAAAGCTGTATTGTCAGAGATGTTATGCAATGTTTGTGTGGAATAGAGAGTGATGGATTAAAGTCTTTTTTTCTCCTCTTTCCACAGGTTTCAATGTCATAACACTGAGTGACGGTACCAGCGTGGGATCGTCCAAAACAAACCTCGCCTCATTGTTTTTAAGAGTTTGGTAAGATCCAAGTGTATGTCTTTGAATTAGGGCTTGGTGGTTAATATAGTTTATTGCATTTTCACTGTATTTCCCAATCAGAGAAACCATAATAAGTAATTACTAATTAAAACTAATTACGTCACATTGTTATTTAGGAAAGTAGTAGACAAATTAAAAGTAAATTCCAATCATTACGATAATTGTTAATTTTTTTCTTCACTCAGACTGAAGTCTGCGAGAAAGAGCTGACGAGTGGTTGAAGACACGACAGTGTTGCACCCGCACTCCTTCACCGGGGCTATGGTAAACAAACACCACCAACATCTCTCTCTTTTCCCTGCGCGTGACTCCCAGGCACTGGTTCAAATGCTGAATCGGAAACTGCTCATTGATTTCTTAGGCTTTTAATCAGCTGAAATGAACGCCACTCAGACAGTGTCAAAGTCCCGTCCTGACTGCTGTCTCAGCGCAGATCAATGCCCTCTTTTGACAGAGACAGACAGACATACAGGATGAATGGATAGATGTGTGCTAGTGTCATCATCAGTGTGTTCTGCTCATTATAAAACAGTTCCGGCTTTAAATTCTGATGGGATAAAATACGTTCACAGCTGTTAGATTCATTTAGATAGACGATAGACGCATAATCTGTGACCAGCAATTGATTTTTATATTAATACACTTTCTATTAGTTGCTTGGCAACTGTAAACAGCCTAAAGTTTTTATAATGAATGAATGAATGAACATTTGTGTTTTATATCGTATTGCTCTTGCAGCCATTTTATTGATGCACAAGTCAGAAGAGTTCTGAATTAGTGATTTTACAGTGATTTATTTTTAAGGGATTTTATCCACTCTGCTGCATGTCATAACTAACAACAAGGTAAAATCAATGTAACTGGAATATAAGCTTTATTATGAACCTTTCATTTTGAGAGAAACCAACAGAGACATCATTTACTGTGATGTTTGAATCTGTACAGGGTTTCCCGCAGAAATCTTGTTAGTTAAGGTGGGGTTTGGCGTCACACGGGGGGCGGGGGGATTGGGGGGTATTGGAAAAGCACGGCCGCGCCGCTTTCTTCTTCTTTCCACAAGCGCCTGCGCTCCCGTGGCGTCTGTCGTTGCTATGCAACCATGAACTGCGCTCTCTATGATGACGACGAGGACGTATCGGCAAAGGATTCATTGATTTCTAGCCCTTGCATTAGCTTTACTAGGCTACTAGATATATTTATGGAGATGAGAAATAAAAACCCGCCCTGTTCAGCTATGTTCGCCGAGGCATAGGCGTGCCTGGATTTTTTTCTTTTGACGACGTAGTTAAGGCGTGTTTTGCTTAGGCGGCCGCCTTAGTTTCAAAGTGCTGCGGGAAACCCTGCTGTATATGTCTGTGTTTAGAAAAGTGTACCTCGTTTTCTTGTTTGCTGAAGTGTCAGGACAGTTTAACAAATGCCTTTGTTTTATGTGCGAATTCAGATTGATGTGTTTGTTTACACATTCTTAATGAGTTATGCACATGACTGCTATTCTGCCCGTTTGTGCCCTGTAATTCTCTGTCTGGTTCTTTCCCTGTGCCCATAATGAGCCGCCCCGGGCCCGGCCCCTCTAGTGTGTTTACTGAGCCGTGCTGAGGGCCATTGTCAGCATTACACACAGATGCCTATGCTGCTGATCCATTAAATACACACAGATAGATAGATAGATAGATAGATAGATAGATAGATAGATAGATAGATAGATAGATAGATAGATAGATAGATAGATAGATAGATAGATCGATAGATTAGAGAACATTAAACAGATAGAAAGAGGGTACATGGTTTATACAAAACCACACCTCCTCTGTGCATCCAGTACACTCCTGTCTTTGACTGGGCAGCATTTTATGGCACAACCAGATCACTCTGTCTTGAGGACTCCCGTGTTTGAGCTAGACAACATGGCGACACGGCTGCCCTCTCTCACAGAGTCTCTCCTATTTGTGGAAACTGAGTCCAAACATTCTCTGCCAATCTGAACTCTCAAGGCTACCGCGGGCCGTACCCTCTCATTCCTGCATACAGAAGTGAATGTAATGACTTTTGCCCTGTCATGAATCATGAAGCTTGTGCTGAACGCACCACACAACTCTAATAATATGTTTTTGCACTGAAATTAAATGTATACACTGTCATGCATTAAGGTTGCCGTTTTTATTTGTTTCATGTTTTTGGTTTCTACATAATTCCCATACTTTCATTTGTGTCTGTTCGTTTTGAGGACTACTATTATTCTAAGTAAGTAGATGTGTCCGAACCTTTCACTGGCATTGCATGTTTAAGTGTCTCTCACTGGCGTCTGTGTGAGTGATTGTAGTAGCCATGATTTACTATAACTCCACTTCTTGAGAGTCTAAAGTAAAGCCGGCTACTGTATCGGTTACAGGAGTGCCTGTTGTATCAGAAATAGCTGAAGTGACCTCAGAGCAGGAAGTCCTGGCAAGCTCCCTGTTTGCCATTTCAAATGTTTTGCTGCTGAAGCCCAGCCAAAAAGGGTATTGGTTTAGGTAATGCTGCGATCACTCTGTCCCCAGTTTAGCTTACTGTAGATAATCACTCATTTAATCAGAGGTTTAGTCATGAACAATGTTTTATCCGTATAGCATTTTGGCTTTTGGCCCCCGGGAGTGATAAAGCTGGAAAAGGAGTTTGTACATTTATAACGTGTGATGACGTCAAATTTTTAGCCTTTGATAAAGATGCTCTCACACTCTTGTATTGTTGCAGCAGAACATAAATTATGTGAAGTGGAGTGAATAATGAAAATCTGTCCGTCTCGCATCAGAAAAAAATAATAAATGTAGATTTATAATTTATATGGGTTTATAATTTATTATACATTATATATATTTTTAAATAAATTATATAAATTGTATTTTGCATAAAGAAAATATCTCCTTTTTTAGAACCATTGTGATTCTGTGCATTATATTGCATATATTTTTAATGACATGTGGCACATTTCCCTGCCAAATATATCTGAAATATATATAATATAAATTATATGTACATAATTAATTAATTAATTTTTTTATTTTTTAACTACATTATTCTTGATGGTAATGCAGTTCATTTCTTATCCATATTCTGCTTGACAGGAGGAGGAGGGGCAGCAGAGTCTGGAGTGCATCCAGGCCAATCAGATCTTCCCTCGCAAGCCCCCCATCCTGGAGGAAGATGATCTTCAGGTAAGCGGGGATCAAGACCACTGCCAAGATGAAGGATGTTTATTAGGGTGTAGTTGGACCATTAATAGAACTATTATTTGATTCTGACCAAGAGCGGAAATTCAAAAACAATAAAACATTCTCTAACCCAGTTTATTGTTCATTGACTACTATTATTATACCATTCATGGATTTATCTCCCCCAAAAGTGTAAACATTGAGCCCCCCAGGCACCATCAGACCATTGAGAGCGGTCCGCTCAGGTCCGTCAATCTCTTTCCAGCTCAACCTATAGCGAGAGTTTGGGGGGTTTCTACTGTAGCAGGCGGAGCCAGAGGGTGTTTATCCACTGTGGGACCATGGCTGATGCATTACTTGGGAAAAGACATTCTGTGTTGGTTACAGTAGTGCAAGCCAAATTTTGCTGCATTTAGATCTTCAAAGATTAATCGGGTCATGAACACGCTAAAGCAAACGTGGCATTGCGAATCAATGCACTACAATGGATGCTTCACTACATCATTATCATGCACTCATCCAGAAAGACAAATGTTCCAATTTATAAGGTTTACTTCGATGTGTCCAGTGTAAACAGCCTCAAATATTTTTTGCATGTGCTTAAAAAATGCCCCCGGTGCAGATACATTGGGTGGGTTTATTATAAGCGAGACACTCGCGGTTACTCTGGACAGAGTGTTATTAGCCTACTCAATTGCTTACTTATGACACATAGCAACACAGCTAAAAGTATACCTAATATTAGTTGGACCTTTTATTGAAAATAGCCTACTTTTACCTGTTGAGACATGCCTTCACAGGTACCCATAAGAGCTGTGATTGAGTTTGGGAAGGCGCAACGTATCGCAGAAACTACTGCACATTCTTCACCTTTAAAGTCCCCATGAATTCAAAATTGACCATACTTACTTTGTTTGCCTAAATTGATCGTTTTGTGGTTAACAATTCATCCATGCAAGTCAATCCACACAAAAAAATTTTTTGGCTTCGTAATGTTTAATCAAAATCTGAAATTTCCCCTCCCCTCTGCGTTGGAGGACCTTGCCTGATGACGTAGGTTTCACGGTTTGGGCGTCTTCTTAACATCCGTAACCACGCCCTTCCAACTGACAGTAGACAGGCTGAATGAAAACACCTACTTTTCTAGATCCAATCAGGTGCTAGTTGGGAAAAAAGCCACGCCCACCATTTTGCCTCATTTAGTATTCCGTTTCTCTCGGAAATACGTCACAACACTGGAGAAAAGTCGTTTGCAACTTCCGGTTCACGGGGACTTTAAGCCCGGTTTCAAAAACCACTGAGCTGTCTACCTAGGCAACATTTTTAGGCATCATAAATGTCCTCGCAATGTGTAGCCTGTCCCAAACAGTAGGCAGCAAAATTATCTTGTTTTGTTCAAAACCGAAGACTGCATTACTTGCATCTCTTAAAATGCATTGCATCAAGCACTGTGAAGATTTTTATACAAGATAATGTACATGTCACACATGACTGACTATTAACAGCATTTCAAATCATTAAATTATGAGGTACAATTTCTGTTTTGATGATATGTAGACAGTAGAAAGCGAGTGAGCTCACTAGGTTTCAAAACAGTCTTTGTTTTCAGCACCCCTGACAGGAAGTCTGCTGATAGTGTTTATTTTGTAAATGCCTAAATAATTGGACATGGTCTTATTTGAACATGTTGGATATACGTTTCTGATTTTATCATTTGTTGTAGGTGCCCTTCCCAGAGCTGCATGGAGAGTTTACGGAGTACGTGGGCAGGGCGGAAGATGCCGTCATCGCCATGTCCAGCTACCGCCTGCACATCAAGTTTAAAGAGTCGGTTGTTAATGTGAGTGTGTGTGATTTTTTTTTTTTTTTTTTTTTTTTTTTTTTTACACTTTACAAATGCGCTTTTATATTACCAGATCTACTTGAACTGCAAATAGAGGTTTTAATAGTCTGTAGCTAAGGATATGAGTCTGGGAAGTATTAAAAAAAAAAAAAAAAAAAAAAAACTTTTACTGAGCTGTTGTTGCCAAAGTTTGCTAAACACAAATGTATGAGCTCTTTGTCCTTCACAGAATATACTAAAACCTACTTGGCAGAGATAATGAAACAAACAGCAATGAACAGTTTACATTTCTAAGCAGTTGAAGTGGAATCAACACATATTCTGCATCAAACTAAACTGAGCAATGTTTGCATTTCAGGCATTTTCTCATTTGGTCTTCTTTTAATTCAGCTGGTTTTCAAAAGTACATCTGACTTGTGGCCCAAATATATATTTTTCCTCCTCATGACACACAATGTTTATATTTCACAGTGTGAATGGGGAAAATCACACCAAATCTGCTCAATTCAATCTGGGCCACATTAATATGCGGAAATATATTGGGTGCCTTTTTTTTGCAGCGTGACTTTTATTTTTTCACCCTCAGCTCAGAGTTTCTTCTATTGTGGTCTGTTGTGCTGTAGTGGATGTATGGCGTATAATCTAGCCAGCCCAGTGGTCATTGAAAGATACTTTTATGTGGTGCATGGCATGCTGCTATATTTAGAGCCTACAGATGTTGTGAAGGGTATTTAGGGACAGAGAGCCACAGTTACATCAGGCACTTTTAACATTGGCTAGTGGCTGCCATCACCCTGTATGTGTATTGAACAGGTCTGTCTTTATTAGCTGTTCTCTTTCACACTTTCTTCCCGGGTCTGTTGCCATGGTTGCGGTGGCTTTTTGATTGGGATTGTCCACCCCCATGCTTTCAACATGGCACTATATTAAGGTTTTGGTTACATAGTACTAATAATCTGCTCTGCTATACCCCTCATAGACCAGCAGTCATGATTCACAAACCTCCTCATTCCAGTGTAACACACAGAGCTGCCTGATCCTGAACGACTACTGGGATGGTCCACAAGATGAGAGATGAGGAATATTCTGGGTTAAATGCAAAATATTAACTGGCATGTCAAAAGATTGTAAAAATGCATGTAAATTACATTTACAGTAATGCACTTACAATGGCAGCCTATGGGGACTGTGTACTGGATGGTTTAAAAGCAGAAATATACAGCCACTTTTGTTTAGTTTTAAGTGCTTATATTGAAGATTAAGTGTGTAATTTATGTGCCACTAATATAATTTCAATATTTTTTTCCATACACTCCACTCCACTCGAATCTCTGTTGGGGTTCATTTTGCAATAATGATGGTCTGGCTGCACGTTATCCCTTAAATATTTTCTGTTCTGGACTCTTTCCTGCTGAGATTTCATTGTAAGTGCACTTCAAACTGAGAGACAAAATAATTATCAAAAGTATTGCCTGTGATAATTAACTGTGATAAGTAATTGTTTAAACCGAAATATTCCTTCAACGTGTGCTCTTCTGTTCGTTTAAATGCAACCAGGCTGCTGGGTTTGTTTGTGGCTTGTGGGTGATCAGCTCAGTGCTGATTCATCAGTTGATATCTGTGACAGTCACTTATTCACCAGAGTAAATGAGTGTGACGCTCTCTGTGTGCCTGTGAAAGAGGGAGTGTGTTGTGCGTGAGAAGAAGAAAAAGTGAAGTGATGTGTGTGTTTGACACTGTCAGTGTGTGACTACAGACCAGCCAGTGAGGCAACTAAGCTGTTGTACAGTGTTGGGACTTGAAAGAGGAAGGAGATTGAGAGAATGCAGGAGTCTTGAGACATGTTTTTTAAAGTTGAACTTTGCATGCCTTATGGATTGTGTGTAATAACAGGAACGTTGCTTAGAGCAAAGGTTTAGAAGTCTGATAGTAATTGGATAATTTTCTGTATTTATATATAATTTTTCCATATTTATGCATATTTCCATATTTTCCAAGCTGAGTATGACGACCAACATGAATTGCGTTAATCTGAGGGGGGAAGAAAACAGTTTTATGTGACTATTAGAAAAATCTAATAAATAAATTACTAAAAACAAACTACCAAATTCTGATAAATATATTCATATATATGTATATATTCAAGAAGGTTTGCACTTTGCACACGAAGGTACCTCACGAAAGTGATTTCGGACTGACTTCTGAGGCATCATAATGGTTTAATGATCTACAACAAAATAGAGTGAGCTTTGGTGATAACCAATCAAATATTTAACGAGTTCGCAGTAATTTGTCACTTGAAATTACATCAAAAGTGTAAAAAGTTGGTCAAAAATGTACATTTGCACACAAACCGACCACCAACCGCAACTTTAATACGATATATTTATTTTTTAGCTCAACTGTTATGGAATGGAACAAGATTATGGGGTATCAAAGGCAGCAAAGGATACATCTCTGCTGCCTTCAAAAACTGATCAGATGAAGGTATCCTTCCTGCAGAGGCAGCATTTTTCAGCTTTCGGACGCAGCCAATAGACCAATTTCGAGCCGACGTCACAGTTACGTCACGGCACTAGCTGGAGGCAAAACAAAGGGAAAACTGGAGGCGGCCAATACAAACCAGCACAGATTCGGCTACATAATAAGGAGCTTAAATTATTATTATTATTAAATGTCATCTTGTTGTGTTGTTGGGTGCAAGAATCGATGAAAAATGAATATGCTGTATCTGAAATTTTTATTTCTAGAAAATATTCACATCATTAATTTAAAATTGCACCGTAATGTCACTCTTTACACTCTTACACTTCTTTTGTCGTCTTCTTGGCGCTGGCTCGGCAGAACTGCGGATCGTACCACACAAGTCTTGTACATGACCATTAAGCACATAGTTATAGGCATCTAAAGATTTATATGCCATCAGTTTCTCTTTACGCTCTGTTTCTCGGTTACCGGAGGTAGCGTTAACGTTAATCCTGTCAGATCGTCCATCCATTGAGTGAGCGTGTACAGTACAGGTCAGCCAATCGCGGTCCTGGACAATGAGTGACCTTCCACATTAAGAGAAAATCGGATTTTCTCCAGTCATTGTTAAAAAACAAGCTAAAAAAACTTGCAAACTAGCGTTAGGGAAGCGGCCAGAGGGATCGTTCTGCCTCCACCTAAGCTCCGCCCACAAAAAAACAGCACCATGTTTACCAACTGAAAATTGGTCTATATATCATGAATCCGTTTTTTGGCCATAGCCGATCACATGCCTGACTTTGTTACCAACACACTTTTAATGCCTGTAGTGCTGGTACTTTAAAGGGGTTCAATTTAGAGAGACCTTTTTGGCGAAAAAAATAAATAATCTTTGTAGTTCCTAAATTACTAGTTTGCCATCCATAATATGGATCAGGTCATATCTCACAAATGAGTTTTAGTGCTCTCTGACCCTTTAACAAGCGCCCTAGGAATGTTTGAGTGTGGTCAGATTAGTACAGTGGAATTTAACCGCCGCCCAGGAATGTGTGTATCACAGATGAGCCAAAACTCGCAGTGTACACGTCCACTTCGTGATTCTGTCTTCCCTTTCTTTTTCTTTCTCTGTGAACAGAATTGTTCGTGTGAGGTGTCAGTAAGTAACCACAGAACGGTCTGTTTGTATGCATGATGTTGCGAGCTGCAGTTTTGAGAGTTGTGGTCAGATGTGACTTGCATGCGATCAATGTGTGATCACGCGCAAGTTCCAGAGCTTAAAGGGGAACTGCGTTTTCAAACGCACAGTTGCAATGCTGTCCACACACGTAAACACACATACTTGATTGGCATGCAGGCCGTTCAACACTTGAGCTGCAGAACAAAGAATGAGATTGTCTGAAATAAGCTGCAGACGCTAATCACTAACGTGTTTGTAAACTCTAAGCCCGTCTAAACTTTCAGTGTGATTGATTCAGCAGGTTGATTTAATCATTAGCATTGGGTGGGTTAATGGTGACTTCCGGTTTAGTCGCTCCGTGTGGTGTGCTGAGACTCACAGTGCCAGTAATGGAAAAATAATGTCTGAATGTCTATTCTGTCTCTCTCTCTCTCTCTCTCTCTCTCTCTCTCAGGTTCCCCTGCAGCTGATAGAAAGTGTAGAATGTCGGGAAATGTTTCAACTGCACATTACCTGCAAAGACTGCAAGGTCGTCAGGTGAGTCTATCTGTCTATCTATCTATCTATCTAGAGCTGCACGAATAATCATTAAAGGGGTCATGACATGAGAAATCTAATTTGCCTTAACATAGAAGAGATCTTTGTACAATTAAAACATGCTGCAAGTTTTATAACTTATACATCTTCCTCATTATAAACTAATTTAATCAACCACTAAAAAAAAGCTTGTTTAGATACTGTGTGACCTGTGATGTCACACTGGCAAATACCAGTGTTTCCCCTACCGTTGTATTGGCCTCCCCAAAACGACCCAACCCCCCAAAGAATGACAAAAATATAATAATAAAAAAAAAAAAATTAAAAACGGACGCGCGAGCTCCATGTAGTAACTTTAGCGGCTATGCAGAAAACGTGGACGGAATCCAGTCATTAAAAATTTACGGAATTTACTGTATAACGTGGAATTTCATGAAATTTGTAAAGTTTTTGATGAAAAATAAAAAGCAGTTCAGTACACTTGGAATCAAATCACAATATAGACTAGTGTGTGTGAATATTAAACCGCAAAAAGACTATTTATATACGAATCCTGCATGTTCTGTGTGAATGAATGGTGCACACGACGCGTAGTTTCATTTACCACACGCACATACACACAGAAGCACGTGTGACGCTCGCGCTGTTATTTGCCTTTGAGGACATGAACTTCATCTCCAGACTCTAGATCCGCTCTGAAAGTCACTTCGTGAGCATTTAATCGCTTAATTTGAGAAAAAGTAGCGTCATTTCATAAACACACAGAAACTCAAAGGTCTTCACGGCAACCCGTCAAAATAAAAGTTCGGATTAACTTGACGGAAATATATTACTGTTGTACAGTAGAATTTAGATGCGTCTCAATGTAATAATAATACTAACACTAATACAAATAAATGATCATCAAAACTTTATTTTTTTAAGAAATAATCACAATTTTTCTTCCATGTTTTAATTTTAACGGTTTAATTTCATATGATTAAAATAAATTAAATTAATGTTTTATGTCTTCATTTGATTACCAGAAAAAACACAGAATTTGTGGAGGAATAAAAACATTTCATAGATTTATTTATTTTTTTGAAATGTTGTAAGTTTTATAATTGTATAGATTTCATGATTTCAATCAATTAGACATGCTTTTTGATTACTAAAAATGTTACACCATGTATCCGTAACACGTCCGCTCCGCGACACTAGTAGTTTTGGGGGGTCTACCACCCTAAAAAATCCTAGGGGAAACACTGAATACATTTGCATAAGCCTGCCTCCAGAGCAAGACATCGACGGATGGTTATACATCATCGCATCACAGGCCCCGCCCACTGGCGTTCAGTCACTTAACAGCTGACACTTGCTACACTGGTTGTGAGCGTCACGTTAAAAGCATATAGAACCCATTATAATCACTGATGTTGTCTACACTGGATACAGTATTCAGTATTCAGGTGCGCGTTTAGTTTCTGACATCCTTCACACTAGTCTGTCAACAACAGGGCAAATGTAATAGTGAAAGAACGTTCAATTTGACAAGTACAGTTTAAACGGTGTGTTTGCATCCCTGTACAGACTTTAAAAGGATCCCAGCATCGGAAACAAGTGGATGGTTTATATTAATGCCGTACCGGATCGCGTCGAAGGATTATATGTTTGTTCGGAGCATTTTATGTTGTCAGTGAGACACAGTGTAATTGAGTTTAGTTAAAAGATGAAGCAGCCATCATCGGTATTGGATCTGATAGCAGCTGCATCACAAACCATAAGTAAATTATTTCATAATGCTTTATATGTAAATGACGGTTTTATATGGATAATGTTTTCAAAACACTTACTCGCGTGCAATTGCGAGTGGACGTTGATACTGTTTCCTATCCAATGAAATTAGCCAATCATAACAGTGGCCGTTTACTGACAAGCCTTAAAAGGAGCCGACCCTAAAAATGGGTAAAAGTTTAAAGTAATTGTTTTTTCGCATACATATTTGGGGGTTTTTTTTGTGCAAAAATTGTATTAACATTATACATGTGAACCTCTAGGAACATATTAGAATAATAAGAAAAGTCCATGTCATGACCCAATCTTGATTCAAACACCCACACGATCCTTTTATTCCTAAATGACAATGATTTAAGTCTATTAAACCTTTGACAAGTACGATCACCGCAAACATTCAGATCTGCGTTGGCGCTGCCTCTTACCCAGAGAGAGCGGTTGTCATGTATTATAGGTATTAAACAGCTTTACAAACATAATAATTCATATGATCACAGAAGTACCGGGATAAAAGTTTATATTTCAGATACAAAACTGATGTCTGGTAGCGATCAAAATCTACTAATCACATTTTGGAAGTAACTTAAAAGTAAAAAGTAGGTGGCGACAAGTGGCTGTTAAAAAATTAATGTCATTGAATCATTCCTTCAAGAGATGTGTTCAAAAACCTGTAGTAAATTACATGTTATTTTGTTTAGTTGTATATTTAGAATTGTGGGAGAATCATGATTTATTTATCTCATCTCATTTTCTATGAAAACGTATCATTAGTGTTATTTTTAAACAGAATGTCTTTGACTATTATTGTGACTGTTGACAATACAATTTTTACAACCAGTTTGTGCAGTAATCCAGGTCAGCCCAGTCTTCTCTTTGATTTTGTTTCCCTGTGTCCCTCTGATGCAGTAGATCTAATGTGTGTTTTGACAGGTGTCAGTTTTCAACATTTGAGCAGTGTCAGGAGTGGCTGAAGAGGCTGAGCGCGGTGGTCCGTCCACCGTCCCGGATAGAGGAGCTGTTTTCTTTCGCCTTCCACGCGTGGTGCGTGGATCTGTACACAGGAGAGAAGGAGCAGCATGGAGATCTGTGTAGGCCAGGTACTATTTAACCTGTGTTCTTAGATGTCACACAAATAGTTTTATCTCTGTATTTCTACACCTAGTGAGTCCACAAACAAGATACACTTGAATATCTTTAAAAGATATACAAAGAACCTCACTAAATTTGTCCAGTCCTGTAACTAGTTCTTCCTTTGAAATCCTCTTCATCTTACCTTCAGAATTCATCTCAACTTCTCACTTGCGTCTATCTTTCAGGTGATCATGTGATGTCACGCTTCCATAATGAGGTGGAGCGGATGGGCTTCGACACTCAGAACGCCTGGAGAGTATCTGAGATCAACAACAAGTACAAGTGAGTGTTTCTCTCTCAAACTCATAACACTCTGAGCAGTCCTGGGCACTCAACCCCGTCCTGCTGCGCTCAGTGGGTCTGTTCAGGGCCTTGCACAAGCTTAGATGACTTTAGACAGGCATTAGTCAGTCTGATGCCCTGATCTGATCACAGTGCCCTCTACTTGCCCCCTGGCACTACCAGGTTGTGTTCCAGCTACCCTCAAATGCTGCTGGTGCCAGCCTGGATTACTGATAAGGAGCTGGAGAATGTGGCGGCTTTCCGCTCCTGGAAGAGGTTTCCGGCCGTGGTTTATAGGTCAGTAAGCCACATCTGTCCACAAGCAAGGAGAATGAAAACTGCTCCCAAACCTAGTGACAATTTTTATATTTTTAGTTTTGGTTAACCACAGCACTGCCTAGAACCTTCTGGTTAATTATCCAAGTCTTTCACCTCTCGTTCCCAGGCACCAGAGCACAGGGGCAGTGATCGCTCGCTGTGGTCAGCCTGAGGTCAGCTGGTGGGGCTGGAGGAATGCAGATGATGAGCACCTGGTGCAGTCCATCGCCAGAGCCTGTGCCGTGGACAGCAGCACCTGTAAAGGCGTCTCCAATGGCTCCTTGTCCCGCGAGTACACTAACGGAGCTGACCTCTCAGATGTGGACTTCGGTCAGAACTGAATACTGTTCTTATTTAAGCCATAGACACTTAGAAAGGAACATGGCCTAATTCAAATTATAAAGCAGATGATTTTGGCTGTCAAATCTGATTGGCTGATAAAGGGTGATCATAGCACCATAAAATATGCTGCATTATAGCATGCATAAAATTATCCATTTAAGGATAAAATATCCTTAAATTTCTTTGTCCGTACATTTATTTATTGTGTGACTTATGCATGTATTATACATATATGTTTATTTTACATCAAAACTCCTCTGCTTGTCTCTTTCTATAGACTCATCCATGACTAACAGCTCAGAGGTGGAGACACTGGCCATCCAACCTCGAAAGCTTCTGATCCTGGACGCCAGGTCATACGCTGCTGCCGTAGCCAACAGAGCCAAAGGTGGAGGGTGTGAATGCCCAGGTACTGTCTCATAGATGCTCTTTTAACAATCACAATAAAACAAGACACCCCCCTCATTAATGGCCTGTTGCTCTCCCCTGTAGAGTACTACCCAAACTGTGAGGTGGTGTTCATGGGTATGGCCAACATCCATTCCATCCGCAAGAGTTTCCAGTCTCTGCGCTTCCTCTGCACCCAAATGCCCGATCCAGCCAAGTAAGTCTTCCAGGGAACATCTGCTGTGGTTGCAGTGTGTCCCTTTGTTTATTTATGTATTTCGACCTTTTATGGATATAACATGTTTATTTATTTAATACTTCAGTACTGTCAACATGTTCAAATTAATTAATCTATCTCAAAATCTAAGGCATACTAAAAATGACCCTCATAATCTTTGTCTGGTGGACAAACGTAATGATAATCAAAATAGTGATTTTTTTTTTTTTTTACATTGTGATGGCCTGTTGGCTGGTCTGTCTTCCTTGTGTCTGGTTTGTTCTGTGTTGCAGGAGGCGTGGGCCCAGGTGTTTCACGCCTTCATAAACCTACCACTCTACTTGTTCCAGTAGAGCCTCCTCTCTGTGCATTAATTGTTTTTGTTCATGCAACACGCCACAGCATACCTTCCATTCATCCAAACATGCACTTCATTCTTCTGACCTTACTGATCTCCACACCTCATAGTTGTATGTTATGTTACGTTAGTTTGTGTATTGGTGTTTCTATTTAGTTAATAAATCTCATTTTTGTAGTTTAAAACTGCGTCCTTCTATAAGCCTATTTCATGGCTTTAGAGCCAGGTCATGACAAAGTGGGGGCTCGTCCGGGATTTGAACCCGGGACCTCTCGCACCCCAAGCGAGAATCATACCCCTAGACCTTGGTCTAGGGGTATGATTCCCCACTTTGTCATGACCTGGCTCTAAAGCCATGACAAAAATAGAAGGACGCCGTTTTAAACTACAAAAATGAGATTTATTAACTAAATAGAAACACCAATACACAAACTAACGTAACATAACATACAACTATGAGGTGTGGAGATCAGTAAGGTCAGAAGAATGAAGTGCATGTTTGGATGAATGGAAGGTATGCTGTGGCGTGTTGCATGAACAAAAACAATTAATGCACGGAGAGGAGGCTCTACTGGAACAAGTAGAGTGGTAGGTTTATGAAGGCGTGAAACACCTGGGCCCAGGTGTCCCCAATCTCCCTGGTAAGCTATAGACACGCCCCCTGCAACACAGAACAAACCAGACACAAGGAAGACAGACCAGCCAACAGGCCATCACAACATATAAACTTTTCAAGACAGACCTACTATGAGTGCGAGGTTTTATTATATAAGTTTATCATTATTTGTGTCCATTGTGACATCAAAAACCTGTAACTCCTGCCAGTTATCTACCTAGAATTATCTAATATAGGACTAACTAATTATGTTGTTACAACAACATCAGTGTTGTTATTATAAACAAAACAAAATAAACTAATGAAATACTGAAATAGAGCTGAAAAAGATGATAAACGTACACATTACACTTAAAATGAAAATTAGAAATGTTGCCTTGACAACTAACTGAAATAAAGTTAGTAAATTTCATCTGTTTAGCTATGCATTTACTGAATGAGCACTGTGCACTAAATTTGTAACTGAAAATATAAAAATAAAAGCTAATTCAAAATATGAATTAATACTATAGTAGTATATAACTAAAACTAAAATAACACTGGTCAACAAAATGCTTCTTTGCTTTGAATCAAATGTTTTATTTAATCTAATTGTTTTGGTACAAATGCAGAAGTGCTTTAGTTTCTTCATGAGCTCCTTTCTTCCCGTCTATTGTTATTTCCCTGGCAGCAGATCTGCCTGTGATTTCCAGCGCTGGCTCGTGTTTGCTTCCTTTTCCATCCGCGCCTTTTCCACGTATCCATTTGTTGTAAAGTCAACAGCGAGTCTTCCAAGTGACTCTTTTTCTGTTTCTGTCATTCTCTCTCTTTCTCTTTTTAGTCAGTATGATAAACTCTGACCAAGAGCTACGTTTCTAGGCAACAGACTTGAATTGTTGAGAGGGGGAAAAAATCCAATTCCCTGCTTTGATTATTCTGATTGTAAATGTCTATGCATGAGGTTATTGAGGTAGTAATGTTCATGCAAAGCTGATTTCCTTTTAAACGTTTTCCTTTTCATTCATGTTCCTCGTCGTGGGAATGATTATTTTAGTATCTCCTCCGGTTACCTGCACTGTTTCCTCGACTAATGTCAGTTTGCTTTGGCTGCGTTTGACCATGCTGAAAAACTTTTATGATTATTGACTGCTTCCCACACTTGTCAAACCACTTTTTTTAGTAATTCTCTCAATTTTCCATTAAGATTTAAACTGTTTTCCTGACGTGCATAAAGCTGTTTATACTTCTTTGATGAATAGAAATAGAACTGAATTAAAAAAAGAACAGCCTTTATTTGAAATATAAATATTTTGTAACATTATGTCTTTACTCTTTTGTTCAATTTAATGCATCCTTGATAAATAAAATGATTAATATCTCTAAAAAAATACCTCTACAGCATGCAAATACTGAATTGAATTCTCTTTCACATCTTCTTGCACTTGAATAGACAAATTCACACAAAATTATGTCAAAATGGCCATCTTGGAGAGTATCTTAAATGTGATTACTTTAATTTATGTACCTGAAGCCTACAGTTAGACCTACCTGGAAAACCTGAAAAGCAATGTTTATTTGTGCTATTGCTCATAATTTGATTATTTGTTCTAATTGTATTACTGACTGTTTACTTGTTTTTAATAATACTGGAAATTTATATAGTTAGGCTAGTAGGTTTTGCTGTGGTGTCAATATTGAAATCAAGAATCTGAAAATTGGTGTCATAATCCTATTTATTAAGGTTGCATTGTTCAAACTTCAAACACATAGAAAACAGTAACTATTTATTTATTTTATTACTTTTTTGTGGTGGGGCCAGTGAAAATTTTGGCAGGGCAAGTAAAAATCTGAACTGAATTCCTTAACGTTGATATGTCATCACTTATTAAGTATTCAGCAACTTAATATATGGAAATATGCCACCTATGTTATACACAGATGTTTGCATTGCATGTTGTGTCAAATTACAAGTCTTAAAGTTAAAGAAAGGAAAACTGCTTTTTTTAATTCTAAATATTATTAAACTTTTTTGTGCAAGAAACCTTGTATACTTTAACCTTATATAGGTAAACAGTACTGATCTTTTTTTTCACTTGAACACATTTCAGCACCCTAAACATTTAGATGTGTAACAGTGAGTTTTGTTGTGTTTTTAGCTGGCTATCTGCTCTGGAGAGCACAAAATGGCTGCAGCATCTGTCCCTCCTGCTCAAGGCGTCTCTGCTCGTCGTGAACGCCGTGGACCGCGACCACAGGCCCGTAATGGTGCACTGCTCAGACGGCTGGGATCGCACCCCTCAGATAGCGGCGCTGGCCAAACTCCTGCTGGACCCGTACTACCGCACCATTGAGGTGAGCTCTGCTGTAATGAACAAAAACCGAGAACAACATTAAAACTCTCTGAATTATTACGAGAGGAATTTGTAAGCTATATCACATGCTGGAAAAATCCACAAGGGCTTATTTTAAATCCTGTGGTTTGAAATGCTCACAAGGACATGTTTACATTGACAATGGCTTAGAGGAAATGTAAAAATATTTGTAATGTTTCCTGAGCTTGAAGGCTGTGATTAACAGATTCACGGATGAAACAATGGAGAGTCGTTCTTCTGCTGTAGTAAATCCCTGGGTTTTTGTGATTTCAGGTCATCAGAATTCATGTTGTACTGACTCTTTGGGGGGGGAGTGGTGCTGCTGCACTTTATCAAGCCACATTTGATTTTTTACCCAAATAATTGAGAATAGCAAGCTGTCTATATGGCAAGAGTAAATGGAAAACTTGATAGAAAACTGAAGTCCATGGATCTAGTTGTGGATCTGGATCTCAGGAGGTGCATGAGTCATCTTAAGCCCTGGAGGAGGCATAACTGTATTTTAAACATTCATGTCTAATTTTCTGATGTTGAATACATGTTGTGCTTTGAAGTTGTTTAAAAAAAAAAAAAAGACCAGGGGATGGATTCACGAGAACCTTCTTAAGAAAGAAGTAAAGAAAATTCGTTATATACTGTAAATTCTAAGAAGTTTGTAAGAATGTTGAAATTCTTGAAATTGCAACATTTCTCGTGAACTCATGAAATTGAGTTCTTAAGAAGTTCTCAAGAAGTTCTCAGATATTTTCTCAAGAAGATAATGACAGGCTTTGGTGCGATTTGATTGAAAGGTGGGTATTGCTGAAGACTCGTTGAATAAAAAACGGTTATTTTCGTTGCGACTGGCTTGACCGGAGTATCACTCAGTGTGGTGTGTTTAACACGCCATGCCTTGCCTAGCCTAGAGTAAATGCGTCATGCATGTGCTGCATCGCTAGTTCTAGCTTGAGTGAACACATCATGTAACACATAAACTCTTTTCATGATTTACCTTGTCACTTCAGAGTACTCGTCCACATTCTTGCTACTAGTAATATGTAGCTAGTTATGTTGTTATTTGATTGCTTCAATTGGTTTTCCTCATTTGTAAGTCACTTTGGATAAAAGCATCTGCTAAATGACTAAAAGTAAATGTAATGCTTATTATTTGAAACAACCCAATAAATTCATTAAACATCTTACCTTTGCGTATTAAAGACAGGTTGGGGGTCATCCTAACTTAAAGTTATTTCCAAAGATTTTTAAGAACATTCTTTTCAGGAATATGAATACTACTTAAGAAAAGTTTTTGGGAATACAAAATATTCTTATCTTTTCTCTGAAGTTAGAAAATAAGAAGAAAATAGCAGTTAAGAAGAATTTTATTCTTAAGAATGTTTTGTGAATCCGTTCCCAGAATTCCAAATGTGATTTGTGCTCATATTTGGACTCTTCATTGTAAAAAAAAACTGTTGATATCATATAATCAGAAACTCTCCTGTCCACTTTCAGGGTTTTCAGGTGCTGGTTGAGACCGAGTGGTTGGACTTCGGGCACAAGTTCGCAGACCGCTGTGGTCATGGAGAGAACGCGGAAGACTTAAACGAGAGATGTCCTGTCTTCCTGCAGTGGTTAGACTGTGTGCACCAGCTCCAAAGACAATTCCCATGTTCCTTTGAGTTCAACGAAGCCTTTCTGGTGGGTCAAAGTTGCTGCAAGCCTTAATGTTTCTTGTACTTCGATTTAACTATTTGTTGAACTAGCTCTGAATTCTTTCGGCTTTGTGTGTTCAGGTGAAGCTTGTGCAGCACACATACTCGTGTCTGTTCGGGACGTTCCTGTGTAACAGCGGGAAGGAGAGAGAAGACAGACACATCCAGGAAAGAACCTGCTCAGTGTGGTCTCTCCTCAGAGCTGCCAACCGCTCCTTCGGAAACATGCTGTACTCCTCTCATTCAGAAACCGTACGTCACCTCTTCTTCTCTCTTTTACTCATGACTCTCTTGTGTAGTGGTCGACTGATACGAGGTTTTCAATGGCTGATGCCAAAATCTAAAGAGCAGATATAATAGATTTTGATGACTTTACTAGTTTTTAAATAGTCTTGCGGTGTGACAAGTACATTTTTAAAGTTCGAATAATATAATAATAATAAACTTTATTTTATATAGTGCCTTTAAAAGTAGCATTCTCAAAGCACTTTACATAAAAATAATGAAATTAGAAAGATACACAACAGGCTAGGCAGTAAAAACTAAACAAGAAAATAAAAATAGAAGGCCGATATAATAACAAACACAGCAATCACACGAATCACATAAAAGCCACCCTAAAAAAGTAAGTTTTAAGGGACGATTTAAAAACTCTAAGGGATTCTCCATTCCTAATCTCAGAGGGCAGGGAATTCCACAATTTAGGAGCCAAAGAAGAAAAAAAAGAAGGAATATGCCATGCAGTTGCTCAAATCTTGCATTGAGTTATAAAATAATTTGTTTAATTTAAATTTGTTTCATATGGAGTTATAGCATGTCACATCACTGGACATGTCAGCTTCCCACATACACTAGCTTTCAGAAGTTTGGTGTCACTAAGATTTTTTTACATTTTTTTTTTTAAAGAAGTCTCTTCTGCTCACCAAAGCTGCATTTATTTGATCAAAAATACAGTAAAAACAATAATATTGTGAAAATGTTATTACAGTGTAAAGTAACTGTTTTCTATTTGAATATATTTTAAAATGTAATTTATTTCTGTGATGCAAAGCTAAATTTTCTGCGTCATTACTCCACTCTTCATTCACTTCAGAAATCATTCTAATATGCAACTGCTCAAAATTGATTGCTTACTGTTTACATTGTTGAAAACAGTTACACATTTTGTTTTTCTATTTTAATATGTCATATTTTTATGTAAACAAAATAGAAAACTTTTGTAACATTATAAATGTCTGTATATACACTCACCTAAAGGATTTTTAGGAACACCTGTTTAATTTCTCATTAATGCAATTATCTAATCAACCAATCACATGGCAGTTGCTTCAATGCATTTAGGGGTGTGGTCCTGGTCAAGACAATCTCCTGAACTCCAAACTGAATGTCAGAATGGGAAAGAAAGGTGATTTAAGGAATTTTGAGCGTGGCATGGTTGTTGGTGCCAGACGGGCCGGTCTGAGTATTTCACAATCTGCTCAGTTACTGGGATTTTCACGCACAACCATTTCTAGGGTTTACAAAGAATGGTGTGAAAAGGGAAAAACATCCAGTATGCGGCAGTCCTGTGGGCGAAAATGCCTTGTTGATGCTAGAGGTCAGAGGAGAATGGGCCGACTGATTCAAGCTGATAGAAGAGCAACTTTGACTGAAATAACCACTCGTTACAGCCGAGGTATGCAGCAAAGCACTTGTGAAGCCACAACACGCACAACCTTGAGGCAGATGGGCTACAACAGCAGAAGACCCCACCGGGTAACACTCATCTCCACTACAAATAGGAAAAAGAGGCTACAATTTGCAAGAGCTCACCAAAATTGGACAGTTGAAGACTGGAAAAATGTTGCCTGGTCTGATGAGTCTCGATTTCTGATGAGACATTCAGATGGTAGAGTCAGAATTTGGCGTAAACAGAATGAGAACATGGATCCATCATGCCTTGTTACCACTGTGCAGGCTGGTGGTGGTGGTGTAATGGTGTGGGAGATGTTTTCTTGGCACACTTTAGGCCCCTTAGTGCCAATTGGGCATCGTTTAAATGCCACGGCCGACCTGAGCATTGTTTCTGACCATGTCCATCCCTTTATGGCCACCATGTACCCTTCCTCTGATGGCTACTTCCAGCAGGATAATGCACCATGTCACAAAGCCTGAATCATTTCAAATTGGTTTCTTGAACATGACAATGAGTTCACTGTACTAAAATGGCCCCCACAGTCACCAGATCTCAACCCAATAGAGCATCTTTGGGATGTGGTGGAACGGGAGCTTCGTGCCCTGGATGTGCATCCCACAAATCTCCATCAACTGCAAGATGCTATCCTATCAATATAGGCCAACATTTCTAAAGAATGCTTTCAGCACCTTGTTGAATCAATGCCACGTAGAATTAAGGCAGTTCTGAAGGCGAAAGGGGTCAAACACAGTATTAGTATGGTGTTCCTAATAATCCTTTAGGTGAGTGTATTTTGAACAGTAGTGTATAATATAATTAGAAAAGTTGATTTAATAAAGGAAATGTTTGCTCTGAAATTCAGATTTCTGTTAAGCAAAGTAAATATAATCAATAATATGAAAACAAAAATTTGGCCCATTATTTGGCATGGCCCATATTTCAGCCCGTTGCTAGTCATGTCTGTACTCCACTGATTCTATTCATTCTTCTTCTTTTTTTCTTCCTAACAGCCCTCAGCTACCTTTACCTAATAACTCATACCTCTGTTTTGTAATAGTTTATTTTGACCTTTGTGTAGTGAGTAAACATGAAGGGAGGCGTTTACTGGCTTCAGAACGCATGCTTGCATTCCTCTCAAATACTCAAGAGACCCGGAGCTGTCGTTTCCTTTAATTTCCTGTTTCTTAGGAATAGTTCACACTGCCCCAACAAAAACAGTTTCCTGACTTTTAGTAGATTTTTTTATAGATTATTTAAAAAAAATATATATCCATTTACTTTTTAAAAAAAATTGGTATTTCACTTTTAATTATTTAAGTACTTCTTCAAATTACACTAAATAAAAATTATTAGTATTTTTTTTTTCAGTCACTGATTATTTTATTTCAGTTAATGTAATTTTTTTTTATTGTTTTTTTTTTAGTTAACAATAACAACACTGTTCATGGGTCAAAGTGATGATGACAACCAATTTTTATATAAATAGCCTTTAACAACAATTTTAGCTTTTATACCTCAAACTTTTCATTTCAGTGGTATGTTGATTTACAGTTGATAAAAAATGCTGTCTTGGGTGCCTTTTCTCTTTTATTTCTGCTTGGATTGGATCAATTGAACTAAAAACATCAGTGAATTTCACTTAGGTCATAGTACATAACGAAATTCAAATAAAGAAACTATTATTTTAGCAAAATATGTTTTCTTTTCTTTTGACTTTTTGGTGTGAAATATGACCTGGATATTTCTATGTGAGATTCATCCATTTTAAAATTCACTATCGTCAAAGATGATTAACAATTAGCATAGAGTTTGGATTGGCGGTGTGGTTCCGTTCTGGGCAAGATTTCCCTGCCCATCCATGCAGCCTAGCATAAGAGCAGGGAGTGCAACAGTACCAATAAACATGTATTTAAGAACATTAATGATGTCTGCATGACAATAATTTAATGTGACAACATAAAGCAAGATAAATGAGACAGTGTGATTTGAAGAGGAATATCAGAATTCTTGACTGTGGACAAAAAGAGGAGCTGGGGATGGATGAGGGTAATTAGCTTTTGAGCAACGCGATAAAACTGCTGATAATACTGAATAGACCTTATATATAGGGACGCTGTGATAGGCGTCGTAATCCTATAGATAGACGTGGATCAGCTGAGAGTCAGCAGATGCGAGCATGACTGATGTGACCTGCCAGAACTAATGCTGAGCTTGATCATAACATCAAGCATAAATTTTTATGATATCTATTCTGTTTCTTTTAGGTGCTTCATCCTGTGTGTCACGTACGCAATCTCTTGTTATGGACAGCAGTTTACCTACCCAGCTCTTCACCCACAACCCCTTCAGATGACTCCTGTGCCCCATACCCCGCACCTGGTGCCAACCCTGAGGACCAGCCCCTGGGCAGGTAATTATGTTTACTGATAGCAAAATGCTTCACACTCTGAAATACTTTGCATTACAGAAATAAAATGGGATTTAAATCACATCAAGTCAAATTTATTTATACAGCTAATCATAATGTTAATGTTTATAATATCTTTAAGCCTTATAGTTGCATTTAGCAGATTAGAGCTGGGTGATATAAATACATTTTGCAATGATACAAGCAATCAAGCAGTTGAGATTTGCTATATAGTATATATCACCTTATGTGAGTGTACGGTACTCTATGCAGATAAAGTCGGATATAATATATATCCAAACTTAATATATAGAGAGCCATCCGATAATACAGTTTACATTTTTGCAACGATTTAAACAGTCATCCAGCCGAGATTTGCTATATAGTACATATTGCTTTACATGAATATACTATACTATATATACAACTTTGAATATATTGCTGGGCTATAATAGTTTACATTTTTCGGCGATATAACAATCAAGAAGTTTTCTGCTATATAGTACATATAGTATAGTAAGGTTGGATATACTTATTTTAGTACATGTAAATGTAAATGGTGTTTCACGTTGACTTGAGCTTGTTTTTTGTTTTGTATTGTGCCCACAGGCGTCCTAAAACCCGCTCGTTTGAAAACTTGCCTAGCGCTTGTGAAGTTGGAAACCCTCTGACCTCCAATCGACGTTCCAGCGACCCCAGTTTGAATGAGAAATGGCAGGACCATCGCAGATCTCTGGAGCTCAACATTGGGACAGGGGCTGAAGGTGCTGCATCTCCAGATCCAGACGAGAGGGTCAACGGACAGACCGTGGTGGGGATTATGGGAACATTGCCCAGTGGGGGAACAGAGAATGGGGAGGGGCCTGAGGATGTCAGATTGCCAATGATGGAGGGGGTTGATGAGGCAGAGCTGACAGTGGGTGTGGCTATGGGCCAAATGGAGAACATTCTCCAGGAAGCTACAAAAGACGAGTCTGCATCAGATAGCCGCAGAGACGCAAAGACAGACCACACTAAGAGTGATGATATCATTAAGAGTGATGATATTGCACATTCAGAAGAGAGTAACAGTGCTATTGATGATGCTCAGGAGAGCAAAGCTAAAAGCCTTGGAGATGGAAGTGTCAATGGACATTGTTCAGAAGATGGTAATTCTGAAGCGTCTTCTGCTCTTAGCCAGGATACCTCGGGAAGCCAAGACTCTGAGAAAGTAGCCCTCGATAAATGCATGATACAAGAACACAAGCCTTGTAGCACGACTAATTTCCCTCCCAATGGCCTCAGGACTCTGAGTAACGGCCATGGAGTCGAGACACCACCAGGACGAGAAGTCCTTGAGCAACGTCTTTCTCTTTTGGAGAGCTCCACAGAGACGCTAACGGAGGACTTGGGCGTTGTGCAGGAGAGTCTGGCACCCTTAATTATTCCGCCTCCTCTCAAAGCCCTCGCTGAATCGTCGTGCCTCAAACAGGGTCTCCGCACAGCAGCCAACCCGCAAGGCGCTCCCAGGACTTTAAACAACACCCCTAAACGGCCGTCTCTCAGTGCCTTTCCGCCCTCCACTGACCTCCTCCACTCTGTGTATAACGGAGACTCCCCCGACCCTGAGCCCCCCACGCCACGCACAAACGGGGAACGGGCCACGCTAAGCCGACAGGTGTCACTCGCCAGCTGTGGCTCGCTGACCCTTCACGCACGGGGCGCCTGCTCCCACCATCGCTGCCTGCACTTAGGGTTTCTGGGCCGGCCGAGCTTCAGCCCTCCAGAGCCCCCTTCAGCCCGAAACCATCTCGACGATGACGGGTTGACCCTGCACACGGACGCCGTGCAGCAAAGGCTGCGGCAGATCGAAGCGGGTCACCAGCTGGAGGTGGACGCTCTGAAGAGGCAGGTACAGGAGCTCTGGAGCCGTCTGGAGAGCCATCAGGCTGCTGGGATGCTGCGACTCAACGGAGACATGGGAGATGAAGTGGTGAGCCGTGCACACTAGTGTTTAATTCCCCTCACATGGTTTGGGTTTGGGTTTTTCAGCCATGTTTGAAGGTTTATCTTAAGAGACGTTTTTTCCCCATCTTTCTTGTCAGACCTCAATCACAGACTCCGACTTCAACCTGGAGCACAACTGTCTGTCCCGCTGCAGCACTGAACTCTTTTCTGAGGCCAGCTGGGAGCAGGTGGACAAGCAGGACACTGAGGTAAAGAATTAAACTAGGTTGACTGTGTTTATTTTAAAGGTAGGGTAGGCAATTTCAGAGAGGCTAGCAATAGCAAGCTAGCTTTGAAAGCATAAGATCCCACCCTCCCTTCAGTACGCTCTCAAAAGCTACGCCTCCTCCTAAACACATGAATGAGCACAGCCAAAGCAGGATCTGCAAAGTGTTACACGTTAAATTACCTCATGTCTCAAAGCACATAACACTACAATAATAATAATAAACAAAAACAACCTGCAAAGCTCTGACTTGCACCACCTGACTGCTGCAGATTAATTTCGCCATTGATAGTATTGCCATAGAAACACACAAATCCGAGTCCGAAGATGTGATCAGCTCAGAGAAGAACGTCACGGGCTGCCATCTCGTTTACAGTTACGACATGGTGTGAACTCAACATAAGCTCATTGCTGATGACGTGTGAGGTGCGTGGAAGTATGCAAATACATAGGTTAACAGGCAGATAGGACATCGTATCATTGCATTAGAACCGAATGCAAAGTGGACTAACATTTTTTTGGTCCTGAGACTTCCACAGAAAATATATGTACATGTTTTAATATTTAGACGACTTCTATCATTGATTGCTATCAGGATGTGAAGAGAGTTTCAACCAGTATAACAAAAAGTGTTTATGAAAAACATTGCCTACCCTACCTTTAATCTTTGTTTTGTTTATATGACTGTTATTGTACTAGAAAGACTTTGGATTTGTTGCACCGGTGTATGGAGAAAGAATATAAGGTCGGTAAGTTTTTTCAATGTTTTCGAAAGTAGTCTCTTCTGCTCACCAAGGCTTCATTAATTTTATCAAAAATACAGTAAAAATAGGAATTTTGTTGAAAATAACTGCATAATATATTTCAAAATGTAATTTATTCCTGTGATCAAAGCTGAATTTTCAGCATTATTACTCCAGTCTTCAGTGTCACATGATCCTTCATTCAATATGCTGAATTGCTGCTCAAGAAACATTGATTATTATCAATATCATTTTGTGCACTTTTTTCAGGATTATTTGATTTAATAAAATTTTCAAATGAACAGCATTTATTTGAATTAAAAATCTTTACTGTCACTTTTGATCAATTTAATGCATCCTTGCTGAATGAAAAAAAGCTTACTGGCTCCAAACTTTTGAACAGTAGTGTATATAAATAATTATTTGAGAGGTTAGAATTTATGATAATAATATGTCTGCTGACTTTAAGGAAATGATGATATTAAATTAGTCCCAATTTACTTATTAAAACTGATTCCTCATTGCATGTTAGTCTAAAGAAGAAAATACATCACATTACTTTAATGCATTGTGAATGCCATGTTATGTAATGTTTTAGGTCTTTATTAGGCAGTTGGTCCCTTTATTCAGAGCTCAGTATTTGTTGCAGGTGACCCGGTGGTACCCGGACCATCTGGCTGCTCAGTGCTACGGCTGTGAGAGAGGATTCTGGCTGGCCACTAGAAAGCACCACTGCAGGTTCGACAACATCACAAACCCCTCACACAAAGAACACATCTCTACAGTCTTCTTTCTGTTACTATTTCTTTCTGGCTCTTGTAGCTTGTACATGTACCTTTTTTAGGGTCAGATGCATTAGTGTTGACTCACTTTCTTCTTGACGTCTCTCGAAAACCTTGTTTTTTCCTCTCTAAAATTCCTCTGGTCGTCCAGTAAACAGAAATGTTTGGCGAAATGTTTCATGACTCCTAACTCATTACAGCAGCACTTGTAAACACAGCAGATTAAACAAGCTGCCCAACTGTGAGGACTAGTACAAACTGCCCAATGAGTAAACAGCAATATGGTTTCCGATTGAAGTTGTGCAAATATCATGCATAGTTTCAGTTTTTAGTAGCAGAAAGCTCCTACTGAAAGCCTACATTGGCAGCTTTCTGACTGAAATGGAAGCTCATAACAAGTGACTGATTTGAAACACTCAACCTATGCAGCAACGTCCTACAACATGCACACCAAATAGTGAAGATTGCAAAAGAGAAAAAGATCATAAACGTAATAAACAAATACTTCAATTTATAGTAGTAGAGTTGTGGACTATCACCCAGTATTTGAGTGCATTATGAGTTATTTTCATTAATGCATGAAATATTTTTTGCAGTCTTTTATATTTCTTTCAACTCCATCTGCCATTTTGAAAGATTTTTTGCCACAATGCATTCTGGGATTCTGTTAAAGTATCCTTAGATTTGGCCTAAAAACAAAGGTACAGCCTTAATTGTGTGTCAGGCCAGTGATTCCTACAAATGCTTTCTAGTTAGAAATCTCACTAGGTTTTACACTACTAGGATTTGAAGTTCATTTCTCCTCCTGTACCACAGAGGCAAGGAGCGTATGGAAGAGGTTTGGTGAGAATTGTCCTCTCTCTCTGTCATTCTCAGGCTCTTGTACGTCCTGTTAACCCTGCATCGCTTCAGAGTGACCTAACCCTCCTCTCCTCCTCCATCTCTTCATAGGGTTGAAGTGGGCTGTCTCTGTTATTGTTCAGGGGGAAATGTACAGGGCGAAACTGTACCGTAGTCATTTCATCCAGAGAGCCAGTCTAAGAGAGAACACAGAGGGGTTTTGCCCTGTCTTCTGTTCATACACTAATGTTCAAAAGAGTGTAGTTAGTAAGGTTTTTTTTTTTTTTTTTTTTTTTTTGAAATTCATAAAATTAATCAGTAAAGACATTTATAATAAAAAAAATTAAATGCTCTTTTGACCTTTCTATTAATCAAAGTCTCCTGAGCAGCAGGATTGTAGTTCATCATCATATTAGAGTTTTTTCTGAAGGATCGTGTGACTAAAGGCTGGAGTAATGATGCTGAAAATTCAGCTTTGATCACAGGAATAAATTACACTTTAAAATATATTCACACAGGAAACAGTTATTTTTAAATTGTAATAATATTTCACAAAATTACTGTTTTTGCTTTATCTGTTTTTGCTTTAGATCAAATAAATGCAGCCTTGGTGAGCAGAAGACACTCCTTTCCAGACCAGTAGTGTAAATAAATCTAATCTTTTAAACAAAATGCTGTAGAAATGACACTTGAAATCACTTTCTAATGTTAGTTAAGGTTTTCCTGCACCAAATCCAGCCATAATTCAGTTTTTCTATAACCAGCATTTTCCACCCTCAATGTTTTTTAGACCTCTTAAGACTATAACATATTTGAAAAATTATTTGTTTAGTCTCTTTGCATGTAAAATGAGTGAACACTGCAACTGCACAGGCTTTGGCATGTAAATGAGGTCATATGTTAATGTACTTCTGTTCCTGGTGCCAGTACCATGATTTATGAATACACCTGCAGTATTTCTATAGACTTCATCGAACTTTACTTCATAAGTAAATCCTGTTTTCAGTGATATGGCTCAGGTAAACTGGAAGTCATGGAGATTCATGGATGGAAATTGTGATTGATTTTTATGTAAAGCCTCTCCTTTGATGTTCTCTCTGCCCATGCAGTTGTGCATGTGTGTTTGAGTATGATGGTATACATGAAGGGCTGCATGATTCTCTATAACACACAGTGTGTGGCGCTGATGATGCACCTCTTCTCACTCCTTTGTGATTACAGTAGTTTGATGTTTTCTTGCAGTAAGTCTGCATGTGTCTGGGCTTCATTTCGCCCAGACCTGAAGAAACCCCTCCCACCCTTAACACTTTAACACAGTCGTTTCCTGTTCAGGACATGATGGAGAACTTTTTAATATGTATATTTATTTTGTACAATGTTACTAGTAAAATCAAATGTGTTTAAATTAGGGCTATCAGTATGTATTTATTTGAGGAGCTTTCTTAGTGATCTTAAATGTGATGGATCTAAATAATATCAATAAGAATAATTCTTATTTTTATTATATTTAAAAATGTAGTGCATTCAGTTTGAATGCATTCATATTCTCATTATTGTTATATTAAATTATAGTGCTTTTTCTGTAGTTTTTATTTTTTTTTAAATGTAGTGCATTCAGTTCTAATGCATTCAAATCCTCTCTTAAAGAAAAAAATATGAAGAGTTTGGTTCCAAAACGCAATAAATCCATTTAGATTAATTTGAGTAAAAATATGTTTTCTTTACCAAGTGGAAAGATGAAAACCACTATTTTCTCTTTCAAACTTTCACATAGAATTTGTAGGTCGTAATAACAAACAAAAAATTAAAATCCAGGTTTTGATTTTCAAAGATTTATTATAAAAACGGATTATTTTTTCCCCCAAAATGCAATTAATCCATTGAATCAATATAAAAGTTTTTTTTTTCATATTGAAACTGTTGAAAATACACAACAACGTAAGTTTATTATTATAATATTTTTATTAAGAACTGTAAAGAAGATTGAAAACATTTTTCCTCCTCCCGAGTGCCTCATCTTCTTAATCTCCTCACGTATATGATTCGATTTCGATGCCTTACGTTTCTCACCCAACCACAGGTTCATCAATCCAGTCAAAAATAAGGCGCTGCCGTTACTGTTTACATTGCGTGGAATGGTGCGTTGTGATTGGTTGACAGCGGATATATCGCATTCTGCAGAGAAGGGAGACTGGCGTTTCTCGCGGTTTGGAAAGAAAGGGAGAAAACATGACAGAATAACACGGCGGATATCGCATTTTACTTAAATTAAACATTGACTTTTCAATACCAAGCAGATACAATACTGATTTTTGCCGTGAACTATTTTTTTTTTTTTTAGAAATGGCGTTTATCGCGTTTTGGAACCAAACTCTTCATATATAGTCTTATATAGTCTAGCTTAAATTCTAAAAGTGATTTATAAAGGTTCTAATTCTATTCTATCTTTGTTTTTCTTTCGAAACTTTTCTTTCTCTGACTCCCTACCCCTCCTCTCTGTCTCTTTCTCTACTGTCCCGACCTCTACCGCCCCCTGCAGGAATTGTGGGAATGTGTTCTGTGCCAGCTGTTGCGATCAGAAGATCCCGGTGCCAAGCCAGCAGTTGTTCGAGCCCAGTCGTGTGTGTAGGTCGTGTTTCAGCAACCTGCAGGTTCCCGCGTCGGCTCTGGAGATGGAGCTGGACAAACCCATCACGGCCAGCTCCAACTGATCCTAGACCCGCACACGGACAACTGCTGAGGACCCACAGGACGAGATGGCGAAGCTCCAGAGACTGCTTTGTGGGGGTGAAGGCGCTTCTTTCCCACCTGAAAGGGAATCATGTATATATGGAACGATGTGGAACGCACAGAGTCGTCCAGGGAGGAGAGGAGGCTTAGCACTTTCAGTTGGCGTTTAACAGAGAACTTCTTGCGGAGGCAGGTTACGATTGAGAGCTTGTCTTGATTTGCGATGAAACTTATCCTGTACCTGCTGCATAGAGGGAAGGCTTTCACCAACCAGCGGACAGCGTGCGAGAATAGGGTTTCCTCCCTCGTCATCTCACAAAGATCAGATTATCAGTGGTGTTTCTGGGAACGCCACAGGGTGAAAGGTGCTTCTGGGACGAGTCCGCAAGATCCTAGCTTTGTTTTTGAGTTCTCATCTCCGTCTTTCTACAATCTGCTTTGCGGGAACCTGCTTTTTTTCCTTTCTTTTTGAGGTTGCACAAGTGATTCTGGGTGCCAGACAGCATTCAAACTTTCTAGGGTTTGAATGCACCAAATTTCCAGATTCTTGGTTAGTTACTCCAAAGTACTTTCTCAAATAGAAAAATCATTCACCTTCTCTCTAACGTTGACTGTATAGTGACAGGAAGTGATGTCAGCACGGGCCACTAGAGGGCGCTCTCGTCTCTCTGATCTGCTGTGTGGACGCCGGCTGGTTTAGACACGGTCTGCTTCTGAGACCTTCTCACTAATGCTTTTTTTTTTTGTAACATACATGCGAGACAAATGAGATAATATATTAGAATGATATAAGAATGAGACGTATAGCATTTAAGATGAGAAATTGTATAGAATTCTTCAATAGTGGCTCACTAAATTAGTCACCAAATATAAGTTGTGTTGTTTTCCCCAGTTGTAGCCATTTGGGGGAGTAAATTTCTTTTTAATGTATTTCTTATTTTTGTCCTTCTAGTGATGCTGAACAGTTGTATGTGGAGAGAGATGTATGTGATATGCTGCATTAGGGCCCCAGATGTTGTTTTTGTTATTTTTTTTGCGCTCTCAACACTTATTTATTATCAAGTTCTTGTTTGAATTGTATGCCCAATCCTGACAATTGATACACCACAGGATAATCAGTGTTGATGGGTGTGAGCTGCCTTTGCACTGAAGATGAAGCCCCTTCCACACACACACATTTGACAAAACACAATCAAAATCTCTTTAGCTCGCTTCCCAGTTTATCCACTTTTTTTTGGAGGTTAATACTGATAATTCCCTCAATCAACCAGAGTTCACCTGATAATACATTTACTCACCCTCAGAATTCGGAGAATCTTCATGCAACTCTTTTCCATATAATGACGGGTCATATCGACTGCAAGTTTTATTGTATTGCTTTTGTCTTTTTTTGGAGCTTGATGGATGTGCTCACTATTATATGGATAACAGTTAAATGAAAAAGTAAAACTACGAGTAAATAATGACAATTTGAATTGTTTGCGGTGAACTATAACCTTGACATTGGGCTCGCCATCTGATGCTATAATGACGTGAGACCTGGAAGCTCCTGAGAGTTTAGGGCCGTGATGATGGGCGTTAATTCCTAAAGCTGATGACCTCTGCAAGAGCGCTTTCAGTGTCACCGGTGCGACAGCTTTTGCATTAACGCCAATCCATGAATGTGAATTTTTTTTTTTCAGAATGAGTAAATTCCATGGGTTTATATTTTGCACATTGGTAATCATCAGAAATACACTGTTGCAGACTTCTGTAAGAATTAAACAAAGTGGAATTCCAACTGAACCGACTCCTGGACTCAATTCACTGATCCGACTGTGTTTACACTGCACTGTTAGCCTGGGAAAACCCAGACAACTTCCGGCACATTTAGATTTGCTCTGAAAGTTAGTCTGGCAAAGAGCTCATTCAAGCCCATTTCCAATCCACCGAAATCGCGGCACCAATCAGAAGCGTTGGGGCGGGCTTTACACGATGACGACAGCGCTGGGATTTTGAAGCAGATTTTGTAGCCTACATTACAAAGATGGAGGCCGCCGTCGAACATCACTCGTTCCAATCAGCTATCGCGTCTGTTTTAAGCGATTTGAACGTTTCCTTTTAGTTAAAACCCGAGCAAAGAACAACACTCGGAGATGTTTCTCCGCCGCTCTGCATACGTCATCTCCTTCATCGCTCTGATTGGGTTTAGGTCTATCCGCGACGTCCGTTGGTGACGCCCCTCTGGAAATGATTTGTCTATGACGCTTTGCCAGACCATAACTCAGTTACAACTGAGAATGCTCTGGTTTTAACCAGGCTAGTGCACTGTCACTCAGTAGCACAAACCAAGATTCCCAAACTTTTTTCTCAGCCAAACCCCTTTTACCTAAAATGTTTACTTGAAGTCCCACTGAGATTGTAAGTTAAAATTTTAATAATGCAGGGTTTTTCCTGGCTCAAAACGAGGCGGAGGTGGTAAAATTCTGATCATGTATTTTAATAATAAGATAATTGAATTTTTATTTTTCGTAGACCATCATATACTGTTTCCCACAGTATTTTTGTGGGTGGAGCTTGGTACCTCTAGGGGGGAACTGTTTGTACATTTTAAAGATAAATTCATTAATCTGGTGCACTTTGAGTCACTCGAATCCACTGTTAAAAATAAATAATCCACCGCCAACCACCCGATCCTATGATATTCTTTGATTTAGATATCTGAATCTGATCATCACATTACAATTATTCAAATTCTCAGTGTTAAGCATGATAATAAGTAGGCTGATTTAAAATTAACATTTATTTAAAATAAAAGTTCTTCTTTTGGCAAAACTACAATTCCTTATAAGCCTAAACAGAGGCTTTGCTCCCTTCAAACTTAAATTGTCAATGTTTCATTACATCACTGTTGGAAAACACTCTTATCAAAATATTATTATTTTTTACCTTTATAAAGGGCATTTTCCCCCTAATTGTATTAAATGTATGCTCCATCTTTCATTTCAAATTCTTAATTTTGATCAATACGTTCAATTAGAATAATAAGACACTATAGGGCTGTTACCAATCAAATTAAAAAATTTACATTGAAAAATTACAACTGTATTAGCCTAAATTAGATTACTTTGAATATTTTTTTAATATACAAATAAGGAATGTTGAAAAGAATGATGCTTTGAAACTAAACCGCCAGTAGGTGGCGGCATTCATTCAAACGATTCATTCAAACGGCTAATTTATTCAGAATGAGGCAGTTTATGAATTTTTGAATCTTTGACTCAACCGATTCGTTCAAAACGCTGAGTCATTCAGAATGAGGCCGTTTATGAATGGGTAATTGAATCTTTGACTCAACCGATTCGTTCAAAACGCTGAATGAAACACGGCCGCGTGGTCCTGTGAGATGGTTCTGCTGTGATCTTTGTTTGGAACTATTTTCGCTGCTGAAACAGAACAAAAACAGTCATTTCGTCTAAAATGTAAGTGACTAAATTTGAACTTTTTGTTTATTGAACTGTTGTCAGTGTAATCAGTGTCTCGGTTTTAATAGTGATGGTTTACAGGAAAACAGTACTCTGGTATGTTATAAATAAATGCGCGAGCCTCAACAGCGCAACTTTGTTACCGTCATTAGGCCTACATTAGGTAGGCTAGTATTATAAACTATAGGCTATCAATCGCCACTTACATTAAATTAAATTAAATCAGAATCATCCTCGCGGTTTCGGTGATTGCCTAGTTATTTTTTATTTTATTTTTTGATATTGAAAGTTGCTTTAATCAGGGCATTTGTCCGGTTGGGCAAGTAAAATTCTCTTTCACTTGCCCCTTAAAAAAACACACGTGTCCCAGACAAGCGTTAAAGGGTTAGTTCACCCAAAAATGAAAATGATGTCATTAATGACTCTCCCTCATGTCGTTCCAAGCCCGTCAGACCTCCGTTCATCTTCAGAACACAGTTTAAGATATTTTAGATTTAGTCCGAGAGCTTTCTGTCCCTCCATTGTAAATGTATGTACGGTATACTGTCCTTGTCCAGAAAGGAAATAAAGACATCATCAAAGTAGTCCATGTGACATCAGTGGGTTAGTTAGAATGTTTTGAAGCATCGAAAATACATTTTGGTCCAAAAATAACAAAAACTAGGACTTTATTCAGCATTGTATTGTCTTCCGGTTCTGTTGTGGATCCGCGTTCAGTGACGCCGCTGACGTAAGACGCTGCTGACGTAAGACGCTGCTTAAACTGTGTTCTGAAGACGAACGGAGGTCTTACGGGCTTGGAATCACATGAGGGTGAGTCATTAATGGCATCATTTTCATTTTTGGGTGAACTAACCCTTTAATGTCGAGCCTTGGCATGTGTTCTCCTTGATTGGTTTTCCCTGAAGAGAATTACATTGTTGAAAACGAATGTAAAAGAGTGACGCACGTTCATTGCGGTTTACCGAAATGAGAGTTTCCGTGTCTATATTAAACTCAACACATAATGATTCATCTGATTGTGATCCGCGCATCACCATCGGCAAACAAACCTTATACAGTTTGAGAATGGACACACACAGGCCGGGAACCCGCAACAGAACCGTTACAGCGCAAGTGTGTAAAAGTGTACCTGGTAATTCTCTATGCCGTAAACAAACCTGCAGACCACTTACCATATAATCTTGGAGTAAAAAAAAAGCAAATTATAAAAATAAACAAGCTTTTGTATCTGATCTATTAAACAGCCTCGATAGGCTTTTTACAGCCTCGATATGCCATCTTTAGAAGTTTGTCTTTGACCTTGTGTTTTTGTGTTAGCTCTGTATATTTCTATGGTATCGCTGTCGAAGAATAATTAGCTGGTGAAGTGGATTTACTTTATTGGATTGCTTATTTTAACAAATTATCATGAGCATTGTAACGTTTGAAGTGGATGTCATATCAAAATGTCAGTAGAACGGGTAGATTTGAATATGAGCAGTTAATTTATAAATCTTGTTGTGTTTTTATACCGCTGTAAATCAT